TATATACGAAGGTCCTACTATAATCTGATAAGATTTTTGAAATTACAACTCTTAGTTTTCTTGTTCATTTTCGGTCCTATTTCTTTTATTTCATTGTAAGATGAGTCAATCCAATGTATGTTATTTCAGAGTGTAAAGTTTATACATATTATCATAATATGTAAGAGTTGGAGACGCATGATTTTGACATCGTCGTTTAACAAAATGCAATAAATTAAGGGAAAACATAGACGTCATTGTAGGCACACGAAAAATTCATTAATGTGGAAATCACATTGGTTAGATCAATGAGAATAGATCATGTTATATTAAATTAACCTTATAAAAACATGTCAAAAAGAATGAACGAAAATGAACAAGAAAACTAAGATTTGTAATTGCAAAAATCTTATCAGATTATAGTAGAACATTTGTATATATAAGAAGGCAATCGCAATTTATTGAACATTGGCGCCCTCTTATCACTAGTAAGAATTATTGGTCTACACTGATTTGCAATTCATTATTGAATAGAAGTTTCTTTCTTTCGATTAATTTATTCAGCTTTTTGTTTTCAAAATAAAGAACAAGAAACAAATATCATCGATCAACACGATCAAGAATATTATTATCTTTTTGAATTTGAGACGAACATTACAATAAAGGTAATCATTGTAATTTTGAAATAGGATTCTTCGATTGACAGGTTAATTTTTTATGTTGTTTAGATTTACATAAAATGACTGACATTGAATCATGTTCAAAGGATCAAACAAAATACATGACTTCATTTTCAAATGTTATTGAAGAAGAAGCAGAATCATTACTTGGATTTAAATTCTATGAATTTTATTATTATCAAACACCGATTGAACAATTTATTACAACAATAGCACCAGAACAGCTGAAGAAAAAAATTTTTGAGCGATTGATCGATTGTATTTTATCAGAAGGATTTCCAGAGGGTACAATTTTGCCAATCAATGAATCAGTCGTGACAGACAACGTCGGAATTATTTTACAAGCCATCGTTTCTTATCATAAACTTACAATGAATCGTAATGATTTTATATTATTACGAGAGAAACAAATCATTAGTAAGAACGAACAATTTGGTGGAAACATGGAATTTATCATAGCTCAAACTACCAATGTCGAAAACACTCGTTATGTACTCGTCGTCGAACCGAAATCTGATTCACTTGGAAAAGGACTTACTCAACTGTTATTAGTATTAAAATCTATATGGGATATAAATAATGATAACAAAATGGTGTATGGATTGTTAACAACAGGAATCAATTGGCAATTAGTAACGTATGACGGTCAATCTTGGAAATTATCAGAACCATCTACTGTTTTACTTGCAAATATGAGAAAACAAGAAGATCGATGGTTGAAAAATAATACACAAATATTAGATGTCATTTATAGTATTTTGTCATCAATATGAATCTTTTTTGTTGTTATTATTTGATTAAAAACTAGGAAATATGTTGTAGAAAGAGTTATTTTTTTTTTGTTTTTTCTTTGAAAAATCTTATGTTAACTGTTTTGACTTTTGTTTACTATATTCATATTAAGAGAATAGTTCAATAAAAGATGATTACATAAAAAAGTGTTTACTCATACGACAAATAAATGTAAAGCAATATGATTTGTATTCATGTCTATTAACTCTTTATCTTTTGTATAATATTCTAATTCTATAGGTACCGTCAATTGTTTATCTATATAAGAATTCAATCGGATCTAACAATTGTATTTAATCATTCGAGATGAAATAATAAAATATATTATTTCAAATGATAGAATTAAATGAATAAATAAATAGTAATCGAAAGTGAATTTGTCTTGAAAAAATAATTTTTCTCTACAAAACTAAAGAAGAAAATTTTGTAAAATATTGTTTTTAATTTTGTGTTTGTTTATGAGATTTTTCTGTTAATAAAATTTTATTTTTACTAAAAAGCTTATATTAAAATAGGTTGTACACATGCATAGTACTACTACACAATAACACTATGATTCTGTTAGTATGAGAGTACTTCTGTAGCCTATTTAAGCGAGAAAATTTTATAAAAATCATCCACTTTATCCTATCTTATAGTGACATAGATTACAATCCGAGTAGAGTAGATAGAGTTAATGTATGACAATCTTCACATTCACTCTCGTTCTATTTGATACTATACTTGAAGAAATTTCTCACTATAGTTTATTAGTCAGTATCTTCTTGTTTATGTATGAATATATTTTGTCTCAGTAGCGTTTTTTATCGTATTATTGTTTTCGAAGAACTGAAATGTTTTGAATAAAGCGCAAAGTACGATTTGTATAGGGTTGAGTAGGACAATGATATTGGGAAAAAACAAATTCATCGTATAGAATAGCGTATAAAAAGCTATACTATTTTAAACTTTACTATAGGAAAAAATTATAATTGTAATTGAAACATTCTAAACAACAGCTCATCCCATAACCGAAGGATTAATTTAAATGAAGATTAAA